CTATTGTCAGAAGCTGCCTTAACGCATCGGTGCACCCAAAAGGTCTGGTCGCGTGCGTGTGTGTGGTAGTGTGTGCGTGGGCGCGGCGCGTGTGTCCCAGCATGCGTATGTATGCAGGGAGATGTGGCTGTCACCCATCAGCTCTCATCATGTGGCAGACACCACAGCTTTTAATCTTGTTCTCTCTCCCCCCCGCCCCCCCAGCTCTGCTGAGGCCTTGTCCCCCAAGGCCCCTGAGGCAGACCTGGGAAATCAAAGCCATCTTCTGCCAAAGATTATTTTTTATCTGCCTGAAAAGATAAAAAAAGAAACCACAAAAAAGCGATATTAAGCAGGGCTTAAATCTTCAGTCTTGTCAATATGTCCAGAAAATATTAAGAGTGGAAAATGGATCGAGGAGTGAATTAGGCCATTATCAGGTTTGGTTCAATTTACAGGGAAATGTTTTCAATTCACTTGGAGTTAATAAACCAATTTTAAGTGCTTTGCACCCATCGGCAAGTGCTTTTAGCTCGATTGGTAGTACCGGTCTCTGTAAATGTTAAAAGGAGTTCGTCTAAGACCTGCTTATTTGAGAAGTGTCCTGAGATAACTTCTTTATGAAATGGTGCTATACAAAATAAAATTGAATTGAATTTGCAAATAAGTATTTCTTCCACTTGGCAACGCTTGTCTTTCTACGCACCTGTGGCTTTTAAGTAATTTCCTGTTGAAATAGACACGAATATCAAATAGTATTGAATGGACCAAACAGGAGGGCTGTTGTATATGGTTTATGCCCAAGAACTGATGGATCTGAACTGCATCCGACTGTTATTTTAATAAAACATATTTATTCAGTAACACGGTCATTTCCTGTAACCTGTAAAACTTTAGAATGGCTCGGTTATAGTTAGCCTGAGTTGTCTCCTGATCAGAAGGCAATTTTCTATCAATAAATCTCTGTGTCCTTGTGTGATGTTCGAGTATCAGTGGAATGGAGATTTATAGACTCCCAGGGTTGGAGCAATGAAAGAAGACATTTGTGAGCAGTATCATTTCAGTAGCAATTTTATTCACTCCGGTCTGTTGGAAGGTATGCCTGCATCAATCCATATAAGAGAATGAGTAGATTGGAACTTTCTCCCTTTCACACACTCCAGAGCGGTTCTGACACACATACACACTCCGGTTTTCTGTCCTACCCCCGAACCTGGCATTGTCTGAATTCCT